TTTATAAATTTTTTTAATAAAAAAAAATTTAATTCAAACATAAATATTTGTAGTCTTCACCCTGTGATAAATATATATAAAAAAAAACAGAATTTGATTATCTTTTTTATCTCCAGAGATATGCAAGAAGTATATCTTCGTGGACAGTCTGTATTATACTACACAATCCCTAATAATTTAGTCAAAACAAAAAAAGCGAAAAAATAATTTCGTTATTTACAAAACAACCTGTAAAAAATAATAACGGCTTATTCGTATTCATTGCTTATTATAGGTACTTAAAAAAATTAAATTAAAATTAAAAATACGTCTTAGGATAATGTAGACAGGTGCAGCCACTGTTATAGATAATTTAGTGTATACCTGTAAGCAACAATAAACTATTTCTTACAAAAAAAACGATTCGGAGCGAAGTTTAGTTGAAGTGATGCTTTGTCAACAATATATATATATATGTATATCATTTTATAGTTAAATAATTAAATAGGCTTTTTATATTTTCTTTAATAATATTTATTTGATATTGTACCGATTTTCCCAATTTGTCTACGTTTTTCCAGGTTTTCCCATGTTTTATCCCGGTTTTTCACATTTGCTGGGAAAACTCCTAAGAAAATCAAAAAATAACCTCTTTAAAGTACCTCCACACACCGATTTTTTTTTCAGAAAAGATGCAACACGTAAAAATCGGAGCAATTTCTCTGGTATAAGTTGTCCACAGGAAAAAAAAATAAACATCTTTGTAAAACTACAAGCTTCTTCGCTCTACTCAGAATCTAAAATTGATAGAAGGCAATATTTTCTCATTTGCCTTTTACACTACCTACCTACAATATGAAGATCTATTATATTATCATAAATGTGGTAGTGATACATTTTATTTTATTTATTTATTTACCTACCTAATTTTCTAATTGATGTTTGAAAAACGCATAAGTTGGAAATATATTATGGTCATCTATATTTATTTATACCTAGTCGTATCATTGATTAAATTGAGTCCAATTAATGATAATAAAATCTATTAACACTCTTTTTTTACCAACAACAAAATTAAAAAAAAATATATAACTGTCCTCAAAACAAAACTGCATGCATTAAAATCTTCGATCTACTTAGACTGATAGTAAATTCAATTTATTATGAATTTCAACCAAAATTATAATAATATAATGTCCATTTAATTAAACTTCTGCGATGATTAATGTGAAATGTACGTATGCACTTTTATAGTATAATAAAATTTAAATATCCGTGTATATTTGGTGGTGTCTCCAGTCACTATAATTTATATATTTATAATTTCTCTAAATCTTTGTTACCAGAGCTCTCTATATAGTTAGATATAATAGTATACATAATAAATATAATGCATATATGAAAATAAAAAAAAAAAACCCACTTTACAGGATGCAGCAATCATTTTCAAAATGACTTTATATGTATAAACATAAGCGTTAAAAGTTTCCCTTGTATAATTTAATATAGATACCTACCTACTTTTTACTAAGACCGCACAGTTTTCTACCGCCCCCGCCAACGGTGAAACAGTATATCTCATTAAACAGCAGAAACTCAAACTCATACTAGGTACCTATACGAATGTCATATTATTAAATTGCAAATGGAAAGATACGTACCTACTTACTTACTGCACTAACACGTTAACACCGTCATAAGTTTTACGTTTAACGATTTCAAAAGACGTAATGATAACGATGACTCTATCTATACTGCACATATGTCCGGTAACCCAAACTCAAAACATTATCTCCCGTGAATTCATCATGTGCATATAATAAACAACAAAATTATACAAAACAAAATCTGATAAATGAAAAAAATACTACCACCGTAAAATATATAGGTAGGTAGGTATTACTATTTGTATAAAACTATTTCGAAACTCTAATAAAATATAAAATTATACCGTGCCATTTGAAAATCTAACCTCATATCCTCTAAATCGCTATACGGTAATAATAATAATTCTTGTACCTACTGGGAACTTGGCATACGAATTTTTATACAATATGCTTAACCCAGGGAGTTTTATATTGACATTTTTCATTGGAATATGTATATATGATAGTAAAATCGCTCTAAAAAATTACAAATTCAACGGGTTTTCGATAAATAATATTCTTCTTCATCCAAACTATTTAGGGTCGACTACTCTCATTTTAAATTTCCACTTGACCTAATCTCCTACATCGGGTCGCAACTGTCCTCAAATCATTAACAATCGCATACAACCTAACCACCTCTTTTTTTGGTCTTCCACTCCCCTCCTTACTTCCTACCTTTATTTTCATAGCAATTATTACTTCTTATTCCTCTGTCCCCATGATATACCCAAACCATCTCAACCTATATCCTCTCATTATGCATAATATCAAAACCACACCTAAGCTACCCTGTACTAATTCCTTGATCTATCTTCTCTCGTCAATCCATTCATCCACCATTCTCATCTCTGTTAAACTTATTCTCTATTCTATTTTTATGTTTACTGACCAACACTCCGAACCATACAACATATTTAGTCTCACCACACTTTAAAAAAACTTAACTTTAAGTCTTATCTTATTGGAATTCTTTTGTCACATAAAACCACTCACACTTCTCTCTATTTTATCCAACCCCACTGAATTCTATGTTTACATCCTCATGTAAATCACTGTTCTTTTGTACAAAATATTCTAGGTACTTAAAACTCTAAACCACGCCTATAACCGTTTACTGTCGTTAGTTGTCTTGTCCTGTTTCTCCAAACTCATACTCTGTATTATTTCTACATATCTTTAGTCCCTTTCCTTCAAGTACTACTGTAAATTCCATTCTTTAAGCCCATTGTAACTTCTTCCAGATTTTCTCCTATCAAAGCTATATCACCTGCAAACATCATATACCTCCTTTCACCTACTGTCCCAACGCTCATCCGAGATAGAACAAGTCACCCAAGTCTTATTTAGAACTACTCATACTGTTTGACAGAATTTTACACCAGCTATCGACCTGATACCCGATTTCAACCCCTACAACCTCATTTATTGTCTCTTAGGTACCGTGGGAGTATTGTGATCCCCTCCCATAGGGAGCTATAAATAATAATTAACTATCATTTTTAATATAAGTGTAGAAACCGTACACCTACCTATATTGAGCTAATTGTGAAATATTATTATATTATGCACAATACTAGAATATGTCTATACTATCGTACAATAATTATTTGAGTTACGTACCTNGCTAATTGTGAAATATTATTATATTATGCACAATACTAGAATATATCTATACTATCGTACAATAATTATTTGAGTTACGTACCTATTTAATAATAAATTATAGTTTTATGAACTCAAGTATGACTTAAAAACTCGATAAAAATACATTTAAGTAAAGTTATATAGCTCTATAATTGTGCGATTGTTTTATTTATATCGAGTATAATTTGTTCAGAATTTAGAGAGATTAAATTTAATACGTGAGAAAGTCGATCTCAAGTAGACATGCTGGTGAATTCGAACCTTCAGTTTTCAAACATTCTTATCACTTCACTAGATAAATTGATATCGCGTGTGTATTATTAGGAAAAAGATTAAAGTTCCAATCCCAGGATTAGCTGTTTTAATAATTTGTTTTAAACATGGTTCATAAAAAAAAAAAACAATTATTTTTAATAAATGTATTAAAACATTGTTTAAATTATGTCTAACATATTTTTTTTTTAAATTGTTCAAATTATGATTTTAGTTTTTACTTTAAAACAGTATTCGAATTAGGGGTAAGAAACTGAAATAGACGCCTTCAAGCGTTTTTTGTTGATTTATTATAGCAATTATAGTATTTATTATAAAAATAGTATAACAATTTTGTTTATCTAATTTGGTGTAATGAGATAAAAAAAATCTTAAAAAGTACATGACTGAGTCATGTACCGTGAAAATGTTAACGAAAAACACAGTGTGCCTTGCTTAAAAAAAGTTTGTAAACAACTGTATTATACTATGGTGTACAACAATTAAGTTTAAAAAAAGTTTAAAACTATGTTTTAAATTGCAAAAAAAAAACACTTCTTTGTAAAACAAATAAAACACAAAAAACCTTTTTTATTTTAACCCCATCTAACTCTTAAATTTAAATTTTATATATTTTTATTTGACGCGTAAAACCACGTAAGATGTTTTTTTTTTTTACTATCGACATTACTTATAATCGTGAATCTTTTCGAATTTTTTTCTTATACAGGTGGTGAGATTCGGAAACGAGGGTATAGCGCCCAAAAGCCTGTGCAGGAATGACAGCTCACAATACTATTATGGATGACAAAATGGCGGCAAGGCGACGGTCAACCGGTTGCCTTGCTCATCTCAGACCCCAGCGAATCCCGCCACATCAAGAATGTATTGTTTCTAACGGAACGGGACATTTGCTCGGCAAAGAAATGAGCTTAGCAAACCAAAAACTTAAAAAGACTTTCGAATTTATTTTAGTCTATACAATTTATTTTATTTGAACTCACGTTTGTGTACATATAAATAATATCTAAGTACATATATCAGTGAAATCGTATTAAATGTTATTTTTTTTTTAAGTGTACAATAATAAATCAGGTGATTTTCAAATAATATAACCCCAATTTATTTCAGTTCAATCCACGCATCTATAGAAATAAAATTAATTTTTAAAATAAATCGCGTCGAACAAGTTTAAGGTAGGTAAGGTGTTAACATTTTGAAAGAATATTACCAAATACTAATTTTTGATTATTGGATATCCATTTCCGTTTATCATTGATTTACCTATAAAAAAATATCTCAAACTAACAAAAGTGAAGACTAATTCGATAAATTGTACCCGAAAAACCACTAAAAATGTACGATATAGTTATGAACATTCACGTATAAAATACAAAACTGAAACTTGTTTAGATAAATTAATATATGTTCAAATATAGTTATAATTATAATATATAATTAAAATGTAAAAATATCGACTTGTATTTAATTAATTTTAATCATTTCTTATTAATAATTATTATCAAACACACGATTTTTATCTCCATCTCTATAAATACAATATAATATTTCGTATATTATGTCTCAACCGAACAATATATTAATTTAAAATGTGATACACACCTATTTGAATATTAATTATTATTAATCAGTGGCGGCTCGTACTATATGGCACACAGAAGCAATGCACCACCTATAATTTTAATAACTATAATGCATCATTTTGGGAACTGATTATTTCTTTTGAATAATATTAAATTTGTGCAAAGTGCGGTAATATCTCCAAAAATACTCTAAAGAAAATACTGACCAACCTGGTTAACATTCAATTCCTCAATAATAATACAACGAAAACAAACGTAATTCTTTAATATATTGTAGATTTCTATCTAAGAACCTCCTATATAAAATAAATACAAATGTATTCATATTTCAATAAAATATTTGTTTTAGTTCCTGTTTTCTGAAAAGACTATACTTATTGTAAAACATTTTTTAAATTTGCACCACCAATTATTTTACCCATAAGCCACCCCTGGTATTAATGGTACGTTATTTTATAATAAATATATATTGAATTTATATAGTTTAAAAATGTACAATTAATTAGAGTATACGAGTGAAATATTTTTTTTTAATGTTTAAAAATAACCTATAATATATTATAACTTAATATTATTAGATTCAGCGATTCTCTCTTTCTCCTTTCCTTCCTCCCTCTAATAACCTGTTTTTTTTTCCATTTGCAATCTTTATGAGGATTTAAAAATGACATCTCTAATCGTGTTATACCCACCACCATGACGAAAACAAACGCTGCAGTATTAAAATACATTATTTAACATTATAAATTAAGTAATGAGAAAATTCCGTTTAAATTAAAATAAATATATAATAAAGGCGTGAAATAGTATTAAATTAATTACCGTGTACAGCATAACGAACAGGTATAATCTTCAAAAAATGCAAAATCATCCATTAAACATGGTATACGACGTTTAATTAATTATATATATATATATATATATATATATATATTTGAACGAGTAAAATGTAACTATAAAAATAATAACCATTACAAATATTTATTGATATATGGCGTTAATGAAATTAATGAGTAAACTAGGGGTAGTATACTATTAGTACTAACTTAGTATTAATGGGTTTATCCGAACAGGGTGTCCGAATGACGATAATTATTATGGAATTTCTTTTCTACCTCCAAAGCCTGGGTTTTTTTTTTTTACATTTCCTCTTTAAATATTTGGGAAGGTTTAAAAATAAATACCCCAAAACATTTCTAGTAAAACCTTCGTACAAATCAATGTCAGATTTATGTAAATTTTTGCACGGTTTTAACGTTTAAACGTTTAAACGTTTAAGAGGACGTTATACCCGTATCTTCTGTCTCCGTCTAACTACCAGATAACATGTAAAAACAATACTTACCCAGAATAAATGAAACTAGCTTAATTTTGGTTTTAGAGTAAAAGCACCTAATATGAAATTTATAGAACAATATTTTAAAAGGAATGTCATAGGGTTTTTATATTATTCAAAATATACAGCTCGATATAAAAGATACAAAAATATTAATTTTTTTTATTTTTTAAATAACTGTAACTTTTTTAATAGTTCATAATTCAAAAAACACCTATGACATTCCCTCCAAAATATTATTCAATATAAATTGCATAATAGGAACTTTTACTCTAAAATCAAAATTAAGCTAGTTTTACTTCTTCTACGTAAGCATTGTTTTTGTATGTTACCCGGTAGTTGGACTGAGACAATAGATGCGGGTATACATTCTCTTAATGTCACCAGAATGAAACAAATTACTTGACACGACTATTTGTAAGAATACTTTCCAGGAAATACCATAGAATATGTATTTTTAAACTTACTCGTAAATAGTCAAAAGTAAAGAAAAAACCCAAGTTAAAGGATAATAAACATATTACAAAAATAGCTTCATTTAAACACTCCACTAAATACGCACTTACCAATTTACTAAATCATTTAAGAAACATCCTGAATAAGTAATAGATATTGAACAAATAAGTGGATAATATTAGTATATTACCTACATAAATTCGTTGAGTATAAGAATAAAATTAAATCAGAAGTGTACAGTGATGAGTGCTCAAAATATTTAGCGTTGCGACAAAATTAATGGGTCACTTTTTTTTTTCTAGAAGCATATATTATACTAGATACATATTTGATAAATATTTCTGTTATGAGGTGACAAAACTCAAACCCAAGATAATTTTTGAAAACACCAATACGAGTTTAATAAAATGAACAACGCTCGTGAATACTCGTATACCTAGTATCTATCATACTACATATTGTTATTAAACCGTAACGTGATGTGGATTGTTTTAAATACTACCTAACCTAATAGCTAAGTGTAAAACAATGTTTTTATAATATCTGTTAGTTATATTTTAAGTGCAATTAGAACAAGTTGTATTTTATGCAAAATATGCAGTTTTGTTTCTCCGTTGCATCTTGGTCAATAGCAATATAATTATTTCGAAACAAATACTAAATAAACACTATATTATCATATAGTAAAAATAATAACAGCACAAAAATTGCCAAAATTAGTTTGCAAGTTAGGAGAAAATCATATTTTACCCAAATGCAAATCGTAGTTATACGTGTCATACGAGTGTATAGTTTTGATTTACCTAGTTATGTGTGTTTAATTTTAATACTCAAACTCAATAGATACTGGTTCTATATACAATAGTTTTATAATTCCACACCCAATGGGTTGATGAAAATACAATTAGGTACAATTAGGTTAAAAAGTAGTATTTTATTTTAATAAAAAGGTTTTATTTTTTTTATATATATATATGTATTTCAAAAATATTTACCTTACATCCCAAGGGATCCGTGATCTACAAAAAATAAATAAAGGTTAAGACCCTCTGTAATAAACGAACCATATCTTTATTACTACTCCTGTTTTGAAATATTATTAATGATAATAATATTGTTAACCCTATGTAAAAAAAAAAAAAAAAATGTAAGTAATATAATATAATATTTATTCATTGTTGTATTTTCTATTAACTGTTAATATTATATTATATTAATATACGTTATTATATTTACGTTTTTTAACTGTGTTAATAACTTTAGATCATTTGTTATACTTAATTTAAAAAAAATTGGCGATTATTTTTATTAATTTATTTATGTTAACATAATAATACAATTTATGATTTACTTATACTAAATTTAATCAAATTTGAAAAATAATTTTGAGAAAACAACACTATTATATAATGTATATATATATTATAATATATATAGATAATAAATCGTTGTATAGTTATCGTTAAATTATGTTTTTTTGTTTTTAATTAATTCTCAAAAGCTATGTAAATTGAATGTACATATTATTATGAATAAAAAATTATTTTTAAAAAAAAATATTCTTATATAATATAATATATTATTGTAGTATTTAGAACATATTTTAAAAAGCCGGATGTATAGTGTGAATGATGTATAGTATAGTATGTATAGTATAAAGTACATCCATCTCATACTATAGATTAATCACCATTATGGGCGGACAACTTTGAAAATACAAAATAACAAGGTTTACATACTGAAACCAAAAATAAAGCATTGCAATCAAAAACGATTCTGGGCGATGCTTGATATAAACTTGTAAGGTTAGGTATACAGTAGGAAGTAGTATACTAATACTTATAATTATGTTTTTTTTCTTGTAACCAAGATAACCCAGAAATAAAAAAAATACAACTCTGCTATTAGCTGTTTTTTTTTTTAAATTGTTCAGAGTCCAGAAAGTGTTTTCAAAACAAAGAACTATCAAGCGAAAATTCCATATATTTTAACCCTGCAGTGCATGGCGTTACCCACAGGCAACATACTACGTGAAAAATTTGAACACTTTTACAAAACGAAAAAGTGTTTTTCGAGACAAATACACAAGTTAGTAAAACTAATTGTTTCATCGCTACACATCAGATTTTTTACTATTGTGAGTCTTATATTATTGAAAAAATTTACCTATATGACTGTAGTTATGTATAACTAATCACTTTTTAAATGTTTATTAGTTATATTTTATTAATAGAACGAAAACGGAAATAATATAATACTATTAAGGCCTAAGGCCCTGAGCCACTATTGTAGATAATAAGAAGTTGAAAATGCAGTATACAAAGTAATATTTAGTTTTAATCACGGATATATCGATAAATAATTTCAAACAACATACAATTTTGAGCCATACTCAGTTTAACATTTTTCGAACAAATTAATTTTATATAAAATGTAAATCACAAACAGTTTCAGAATTGGAAGTCTAGTGTACAAAATTTGACTTGCGATTTATTTCTCCTAATTGTATATTGGTACTCTCTATTCAACTTAAGAGTATACCGAGCGGCGAACGAAAATACGCCCGTTTCGCACATGCGTTATCACTCCCGGTATTGATACCACTTCTTCTACTCACCCGTCCATCCATCACGTATCCGGTATAACTCTTAAATTAAATAGACTTCAGTATTTTAACTATACCACAAGATCATACATTATATTTAAAAAAAAAATGTATTACATAGGTACTATAATACATATTATGTGGACAAAAGTCAACATGTATATACTTTTTGTCATCGTTATGCCATGTATATATATACAAGTTTTATATCATTATTGTATTGTTAAAACAAACATAAAAATATACGCCAATATAAGTATGACCAAGTACAGTCAATTACATTCAGTGGCGTATTTACGAGGGAGTCCCTGGGGTCCAGATCCCCTCTCTATTGATATCCACTCAAACGTGTTAGGTATTTATTAAAATTAAAATCCCAACCACTGAAATATACACTTGTTATACATGTATTTCGGGAACAGTGTTATATAAATACATTTTTTGTATAAATCTTATTGATTTATTGGTTTTTTTTTTTTTTTTTATAGATAAGTAATGTTAAATATTATTCTGCCCTGCTCTTTTGAATCTTACATCTAGTGTAATCGCTATGTCACCATGGGACCCTACAGTATCATACAATTTGTACACAGAATTATAAATATAATATTTTTATTTAAAAAATTATTATTGGGGAGGGAGGCTAAACCCCCCACGGCTCTATGTTCTAAAAATTATCTGGATCCTCCCCATGACAAATTCCTAAATTCGGATACGTATTAATCAAATGTGAGACTTTTAATAGACATTCTCCCAAATAGATGCTATTATAAATTAATTTTTAAAATTAAAATATTTTATCTGGTGAGCAAATAAAAAATGTAAAAAAAAAATACTACTGACACAAATAAAAGAAAAGAAAAAAACAGAACTAAAGAAGAAACCTTTAAGACAAAAATATAATATTATATCAAACTTAAGATTGTTTCAAAATCAAACAGTTTCAAATTCTACCATTTCGACAAACATAATATTATAATCAAAAAATGAATGCAAACAATGCAATTTTACTGTCAGTGTCGTCTTGACAGGCTAATATCGAATAGAGATCGTTGATATTGGTTATTCATAACATAATAACGTTTTTATTTATTTTTTATGACAGCAGTGTATTGTGAGTTTTTACATCAAAATTATTAGTAATTTCATTGTATTATAATCTGTAGACAAATATTTTTAAATGATTCAATAATTTCAAGATTAAAGACAATCAAAACTAAAATTTTAACAATATTACAAATGATTTTACCACTTAGTAAAATAGGTATTATATGGATTTGAATAAAAAACTGTTGTCTTGAAATGTCCTATTCTTAATATAGATAATAAAAATGGATAGGATATGAAATCTTATCATATGAAAATTTAGTGATAACTTTTTAAGTTTATATAAAGTAAACATTTACAATATTATTATTGATATTATAAATGATTGAAAATTATAGTTCATCGCAATGAAATGTAAATTATATAACTCGAGCCAATTTTTAATATCAGTAGATAGTTTAATTTATCAATCAACATTTTTCCTTTTTCAGAATTATTTAATAACCTGAATAGATTAGAAAAGCTTTTAAAAAACTTAGTTTACGTTACCAAAATATATAAAATATTGTTTTAATTACTTTCTAAGTATCTACTTAGAATCTAGTATACTAGTATAGTAGATACTTAGTATTTACTTACCTATACTAATATTATATAAAAATAATTATAAGAAGAAAATAACATAAGTAATGTAAAATAAAAGTATAAGTAGGTATATATAAGAGTAAAGTGTCTGTAAAAACAGACGTATTCTATTCATTATTTTATTATCTATGATTTTCAGCCTTCAATAAACCTAAATAAAAAACCATTTTAAAATTAAAATTCTCTCTAAATTATATAAAAACAAAACGTTTTTAATTATCTACACAAAATACCACTTTTAAATAAAACTTTGCACTCAAATAATTTGTTTGGGTTATTTTAGTGAGATTGTAAATTAAATGTATTAATGAATTATATAAAATGCATTTATTTCAAATCTCAAAAATGCACGCTTTTATAAATTTTAATGGTCTTCGACGTTGATATAAAGAATGATAAAGAATTCCTCCGTATTTTACAATGGATTATAAAAAAAATACAAGTCAGTTATTGGCGGCTGTCTTTATTCTATCCTTTTAAGTTTTAACAATTCAATATTAATATACTATCCTCGAGTGATGCGTACTCACAATTTAATTAACAATAAATTTTGTTTTTCTTTTACTTTGGCTCAAATTATCATATTCTGTCACACGGATTTTATGTCATTATAACTTATAATTATCTTATTATTTTACAAGGACAGTTCAGGAATGGACGCTAGAAAGTAAGAGATCCCAAGCGAACTATGAAAAAGGTAGTTATAGATGTAGTAAAAAGGGATCTAAAAACACAAGGAATACAATAATCCAAAACTGGAAGGCAATAGTTCAAGACCGAGAGTTATGAAATAGGGGCAATTTAGAGATAGCGGCACGATGCCTATAGAGAGAAATATCATAAACCGATACAGAATAACAGTGAAAGAGAGCGTTCGGTTCATAGACCTATTACTATTGGACAGTATATCTGCACACACCCAGAAGCTTATTAAGACACGAGACTAGAGCGGCGACATTTTAGGACAGTAACTTTGATCATCTTTTTATTTTAAAAAATGATAAAAATATTTTTTATTTAATGAAATTAAATTTTAGTAATTTTTTTAAACAGAAAAATGTTATATTTTAACATATGTATATAATTTAAAATTGCAAGTTAATCGATCACATCCATTCGCTCAAAAACTACATAGATATACATATATTATACGCAATACCTACAGAATTTAGGCGTACAGCCAGTACGCATATAATATGCGTACTTATTAATTATTTATTTGCACGGGCTTGGCTACTGTGACATCTCAAGTTGCACAATACATTTTTGGATCGGCACTTACATCGAGATTTGTGATACATTTTTTCAAACAGTCGCACCTTATCAAGCCTTATCCACCAGTCAAAGAAAGTTGCGATACTGCTTGATGAATACCAATTTCATTGTCTAGAATTATTGCCGATTTAAAAAAATTTTCTTTACAAAAACTGAACTAATTCTGAAGAAGAAGAAAAGAAGAAAATTTGTATTATATATTTTAAATAATATAAATTTGTTATCACAATGTATAATAATACATAATAACATAAATTTATGTACTGTGTGTACCTATCTACCTAATGTACATAAATAATAATAATATACCAGTAAAATACGGATATAAAGCAAAGAGAAAAAAATATCACATAATTGGTAAACAATTTTGGACTTTTACCAACGCTGGTTGTTTATCCTAAGATTTACCAAATCTCGTTTTTAAAGTCTGAACTAGAAAAATTATTTGGGGTTTGATTAAACTATTTTGTGTATCCTAGGTTTTACCGAAATTAATCAGTAATTTTCTGAATTTTGGACACTTACCAATCACAGTTGGTAAAACCTAGGTTTTACCGGTATTCGTACTTTTACTATAACATGTATATAAACCTTTATATAATAACCTACTTACTAATAATCAATACTATAACAAAATCTATAAAAAAATATGCAGTATAATATACTATAATAAAATGAAAATATGAATAGAACTACATTAAGAATTTTACAATAGGTACTATATTCGA